CGAGCATTACTTTTTGTACTGCAAGAATCATGTTGGCATAATGGAATGGTATGCAAGACTCAGGGACATTTTTAACACCAAACACCAAACTTCTGGGGAGTTTCATGCTAGTGGCATGGGTTCCACCACAAACTTTCCCATGCAGGCTCCCCAGCTGAGCAGAAAAGTCACATGATGTGGATATCAGCTTTTGGCATATGACTTTGATTTTTAAGCGCAAGGCCAGGTTCAAAAAATATGGTGTGTGTTTGAGTTTAAAAAAAACTGCAGTAAAAGACATATTGCCTTTAACTCCTTCAAAATACTTCCCTGTAACTGTGAACTCATTTATCCCATTATTCCTTCTGTTTTCTGAAGCATTTCTGGAAGTCCTCTTTCATGATGAGTGTCTTCACAGTTGTCTCCATGTTCTGAATAAATTCAATCAATTTACGGCGATTTCTGTCAAATAATGGCATTAAGGGGTCCCATCTACCGCCTTTGCTGAATCTGTCACAGTGCGCCTCCTGGCTCTTCCCTAAAGCCAAGAAGACTATGAAAACTATTTTGAAGGAAATTAGTAACAATGTGGCTTTTACTGGAAAAAATTTTAAAACATGTGCAATATATTAACTAGTGTTAATTTCCTATTATTTTGTTTTGAAATTCTGTATTGTTTTAATCTTTTTTAAATTTTGTTTTTAAAATAAAAAAATTTTTGCTATATTTTTAATCATACTTCATAATTTAGACACAAACTTGCCCTCCTTTCCTTCACTATTTCTTCTTACCAGTATTTAGGAAGATGCTCTATGAGTCAGGCACTGTGTAATGTGTCTTGAAAACGTGGAATGAATGAGACGGAAAATGTCCCTGTGCCCGGGGACTCGTGTTCCCCGGCTGCCTGGAAACAAGTGCTGATAACCAGGAAATAGTGACTTGGGGGTGACAGGCAGGAAGGAGATAAGGTGCAGGGGTTGGAGGGACACAGCAGAAACCAAGCTCAGATAATATGGTGTCAGGAACACCCTCCGAAGAAGTGGGGCTCTTCTCTCTGTCTCAGAGCTGTCTGTGAGTTAGCCGGATGGGGGCGATTGGGAAGGATGGAGCCATAGTCTTCCTCTTGCACCTGGGAAGGTGGGGTGCAGCCCAGAGCCTCTGTCTGTGAGGCAGATTCCATTTCTGTGTTCTGATTCTAGGGCTCACTGGCAGCGACTTTAGGTTTGAAGCTGAACCCCAGGAAATGTCGCAGCCTCACCTACACCAGGGCTACACTGCTGTGCCTTGGGGGCCGTGAGGGCACCATGGGCTGGCTGTACATGTGCTTAGTCGCATGGTAGCACACACAGGCACACTCAACCCTACAGGCACTTTGGAACTAGTTTCTGGTGACTGGAAGGCTGGGGGCGCCATGTGGCTCAGTGGTCCAAGTGGGGGACCTCAGCTTGAAGCCTGGTTCGATGTCCTGCCAGCTGTGTCCTGGGCCAAGTCACCCAGTGTCTGCAAAGTGGGGGTCATGACAGCTCCCAGCTCGCTTTATTGTACCAAAGATTCAGTGAAACGACTCTGTGTGTGCTCTATGTGTCTATGAAATGTATTCATGTGTGCTATAACCTGCATGCCCACAGGTGCATATACACATACTCAAATATATTTAAATTTATATTTACATATGTATGTATTTTACAGTGGTATAGATACCCAAAAGTGTAATACCCAGAATCCATTTGATTTTGCATGATTTGCTCCATCATGAGGCCCGCTCTCGTGATTTGAGGAATCCACTCCAGGTGAAGAACCCTCTTGGGTACTCACAGGGCTTTCAGAAAGCTCTTTCCCCAAGGACATCATTCCTGAGCTTCGATCCATCAGTAAATGAAGACAGACAGAGCCCCGACGGCGCGGCACCCCCCCACTCCCCCCACCCCCGCCCCACTGATGCAGGCTCCCATCACAGGCCTTCCCACCTAGAGCCTCTCTCTGCACTCCCTTTCCCTCCCTGGAGCTCCCTAGGCTGCAGGGTGGCAACGTTTGGCCCAGTCTTGGCCTAGAACGGGTGGGGCAGCGGCAGAGTCTCACTCATCACTTTTCTCCAGGGCTTACACGCTGCTGGTCCAGATGGTTGTGGAAATAATGAGACTCCGTTCAAATGTGATGAAAAGCAAACCGAGCTGTTGCTTAACGGTGCCTTATTCTGAAGTCACACTGACGGGATTTTAGTTTCTAGGTCAGGTTCTCCAAAGGTAAGGGGAAGGAGGCGCCTCTGGGCAGCCCTGTATACACAGAGAAGGCCTTTGTGAACCTGGTCTCATGGAATTTGTGTACCAGTCTGACACACAGGTGTCAGATCAGGAAACTGAGGTTGAAAGATCAAATAGGAGGGGCTCAGTAATTCACCCACGCCCACCAAGGCTGGAGATAAAAATCCTTGTTAGCCCAACCCAGGCTTGGCTTTGTGCTTGACCAAGCGTGTTGGAAGGAACCCATCTGTCCATCCCTCTATCCATCCCTTTCATATTGTAGGTTCGACACTTATTCCTTATCTCTATGTGAAAGACTTAATCCCCTTTCACATTTTAGTTTCAGACTCTCTGTTGTCCCCTAATAAGGAAACTGAGGCTCTGGCAGGCTTGCCTCTCCACAGCCTCCAGGAGACACGTCTGTCTGTCTGTCTCCCTCCTCTGTGGTCCCCAGAGAGTCCTCCTACATCTGCAGAGATCAGTTTTCAGGCAATTTGATTCGGCATACACAGAGATGATCCACGTAGTGAACTGCATGGTACCTGATGTCTGATACAATGTTTTCAGCCCCTGGAACTAACAATTGTCTTAATTTTTGTTGTTGAGGTCTCAAAAGGAATTTCTCATTTAACTCAACTTCAGACCCTTTGCCAACTGAATGAATCTTCTTTGACTGCAGCCAGATCCATCAGTAGTCCCACCAGCTGGCTTGGGCAGAGGAGGCTCTCCCAAGTCACTCAGTCCACACTGCAGACAACAGACATCCTTCAATGTCACCCCAGAACCTCCTGTCTGTCTCTCTTTTGGACTAGAGTTCCAGCTTTCTCCAGCTTTCTTCCTCTTCCTTGACTGACTCCTTCATTTTAGGGTACACCTGCTTTTCTTGTACTCTAAAGAAGGTGCACAGCAGGCAGGTTCTTGAAACTCAGGACTTGTGCAAATGCCCCCTCTCACTGCTGATTAATATGCCTGTGCTGCCTGCCAGCCTCTGCTGCAAACTATCCTGGTCCTTCAAACTATCCTGGTCCTTGCACCCTTTAAGGCCAGGGGCTCTCTCCTGGACACTCAGGGAGCATGAAATTTACTTGCTGTGCATCCAGTTCTTGCCCTGGGTCTGAGCCTGGAGAAAGGATTTTCAATCTGGATGATCCTGTCTTTCAGGTTGGGGAGATTTTCTTTAATTATTTCATTAATGATTTCTCCCTCTATGTCTTCTTTCCTTCTGATGTTGTTAAAATGATCCCAACTTCCTTGTCTTTTGTCCCACATTTTTTTCTTGTCTCTTTCTTGTGCTTGATGGAAGAGCACAGAAACTTTATCTTCCAACATAGCTTTTGAGTTTTTCATTTCTGGTTTTGCATTTTTAATTTGTAAGAGCTCAGTAGGTTCTCTGAGTTGAAAAACTCCCTGTTTTATTTTATGCTTGCAAAAAGCTTCTCTTATCCCTCTAAAATACTGATCCCAGTTACTTTAATGTTTTCAGAACCTTGGTTAATTTGTAGCTCTTTTTCCATGTCATTGCTTACCCCTCAGTGTTGGACTCCCTGGACGGCCCTGGTCCTGGCTGGGAGTGGGTAAGGAACATGAGGCGCTTGTGCTTGCTGGGGCACAGCTGAGTGGTCATGGGCTCCCAGTGGCATCACTTGGTCTGGCTCCATTACACTGTCGTGCAAACAGTGTTTTCCCTGGAGGATGCAGGCTCACAGACACCACTCTCTGACCCTGACATACGCAGGATTAGATGATCTTGCTGCTTCTGGGGCAGTATCCCAGCCCGGGAGGGACAAAGACCTTGAGCTCAGACACTCTGTTCTCTCCTCGGGGACCAGGCTTCTGTCTTCTCCCTGGACGCAGCCCGGGGTTGCAGGGCTTCTTAGAGGTTTTCAACCTGTTCATCTCCTTGTAGCCTGTTTTTCAACCTCCTGCTTCCAGAGAAGTGGCTGCCAATCTGTGAGCCTGCGAGGTTTTCTTTAGTGTCTATCAATCAAACCTCCAGACGACGACATAAAGTTCAGTTTCTGAGTGTGACCGCCCTACGCCAGGCACCACTCCCATCTTCCCATTTCCTAACGGGCATTAGTCAGTCCCCAGTCAGTTTCCCCGCCCTTATGCATCTAACATTGCTCCCACAATTTCATTAGGATTTGAGAAGGGAGAAAATACCGCAGTTTGCACATGTACACTTAATTTGCTTTCTTCACCTAGAAGTCTAAGTCTTTATCATTTCCAAAAACTTATGCTAGAAGCAGGCCAGGTGGGCCCAGCGCAGAACACAGGTGAACGCATTTGGAGCCATTTGCAGCAGTCCTGCCTGTGGCCGGGGAAGACCTCAGGATGAAGCCACAGCTTTCTGAGGCCTCTTGCTTAGCTGCTGCTCCATGGCCAACTTGCTTTGTTCACCTGTGCTGGACACACACTGCTGGGTACAGGCAGGGAGAGGCACAGTCCCCAAGGAGGAGCAGGGTGCAAGCTTTTATGCCAAGCCCAGAGCCAGCATGGTGGGGTGAGGTGGCACAAATCCTCCACGATGGGGGGAAGATAGTAGCATCCCTCACACTCCTCACTCATGAGCAGGATGATGTCACTGTAGCTCTGCGGGCCTGGGACAGGAGGGACAGCCCATCCCAGACACCCCGGGGTGGGAAAGCCCTGGCCAACCGCAGCCCTGTGCCCAGCCCCAGCAGTTCTTCCCCACCCAGGCAGGAAGCTGTCTGTCTGCAGGGAATGTAAAGGCAACAAGGAAGCTGCATGGCCACTTCTGGACGCGTCCCCACGCAGTACCTGTGGATGATGTGGCACCTCTGCAGATACTCCAGGGCCAGCGCCAGCTCGCAGATGTAGAGCTTCACCGTGCCCTCTGTGAAGTGCACATTCTGCTGCAGGTGGTAGCGAAGGTCGCCACCCAGCAGCAGGTCCACCACCATGAACATGTCCTCTTCGTCCTGGAAGGAGTACCTAGGGGCACAGGGGACAGAGGTGAGGGAGGAGGCCCTCGGCAGCCTGAAGATCAGTACCCCTGTTTAGCAAAACATTGAACAGAGGTCCAGAGAGAGATGCAGATGCTGCCTAAATCATGGAGTTTCTGGGTAAAGGGGGAAGGGGGGAAAGGTTCACAGCTCCACGTGCCACGCACATCCGTGGATCCCCTTATCCTCAGTGTGAGAAAAGTAAGCAGGGTTCCCGGCATTAGACCCCAGGCTCTGGCAGGCATGCATTTATCTCTGGTACCGGGAATAACCAGGGTTGCTCACTAACTTACGTCCTGGCCCTTTTTGTTCCTTATTTTGAGGCAAGCTCTTTCCAAGTCACTACAGCACGCAGGATCTCACTTGCAATCTTTCTGCCACAGACTCTCTATGGGATTACGGGTGTGTGTCACTACATATGGCTGGCAGACGCGTTTTACCTGGTGCTGGGCTCTAACATGTGCCTTCAACAGATGCTGTGATTCCTCGCAGGCATAATTTGTACTTTGAATGTTCTCAAAGGCTCACGTATTAAAGGCTTTGTCTCCAGCCTGGGCTCTGCTGTGAGGTACTGGATCCTTTAAGGGGAGGGCCCAGCAGGAGGAAGTGAGGTCCCCAGGGGCATGGAATCAAAGCAGATACTGAGGCCCAGTCCCTTTCTCTTTCCTTCCTGGTGCCCATGAGGTGAGCAGCCTCCTGCACCCCTGTACCTGCACCATGACGCACCTGCCACGCCAGGCCCAAAGCAGCAGGCCACAGGGCCACAGACCGAAACCTCTGGAACTAGAGCTGGTCACCTCATATGGGCTGATCACCTCAGGTAATTTGTCACAGTGATGGGATACTGTCTGACCCACATGCATTGGACTTGCACTGTCCGATGACACGACCTCCCCACTGTCCCTGTGATCTGCTCTCTATCACCCCCCCCCCACCTTGGACGTTTGGAGTTTGCTCCTAGAATCCCTCAATGCTCTAGGAAATTCAGGTCCTGACACTGAGAGAACAAGCGGATCCCAAGCCACCAGGAGAGGCCCTGAAAGGGAAGCTGAAGACTCCCATGGACAGCCTCTCCAAACCTCTGGGCATTCTGCAGATTCCTCACGGGGGCAGAACCACCACCCAGTGGAGCCCGATCTCTCCCCACCCCCCACCACCACAGCACCTGAGCCTGAAACATGTGGTGTTGAGTCACTAGGTTTTAGGGTGGGTATTTGTTTTCTATTGTTTTTGAACATAAAATGGATACAACACTAAATTCACTTTCTAAAAGATTGCATTTGGGCTTCCTAAGGACTGAGGAACTAGCACGCACAGTGAGGTGTTGTTAAGCAGTGGTAGAATGGCATGTGACATCACAGGACATTGTGATGTTCCTTGTGGACTCATGGACCATAAGCATGGAATAGTATAATACACTAGGGAATGGTGTCTGGGAGCTGGGACTCCCCAGTCCCTCTGAGTACCAGGACTGCATTGTTCCCCTCATTCAACAGAAGAGCACACGGAGACCCAGAGGGACAGAGGGACTGGCAGGTCACTGTCAGGCTGGGGACAAGAGCTCCAGCACCCCAAGATGACTGTACTATTGGGTACCACTGCGCATGCATGGTGTTTCAGTGACCTTGACCAACAGCCTCACAGAGGCGACCTGCCCATGCTCCAGGCACAGGAGAGGTGACAAACCATCTGTGAATAGGTTGAGGGACTTTAAGTGTCACCCAGCTGTGCAGCCTCCTGGGACGGGGACTTAGGGTCAGAGAGGGGCTGTGCCGTTCTGCTTGTCCATCCCTCTGCTGCTTCTGATTGTCCAGGATAAAGGACGGGAAGGGGAGCTCTTTATCATGAGTTTCCCAGTGTCTAATGAGCACCTACTTGTGATAGGCATTGAGCTCTGTTCTGGGGATGGGGGAAGAAACTGTTCTTGTCCTGAAGGTGCACACAACCCCTGGAGGAAGAGGACTTGTCTAACAGTGGCTGGCGCCCAGGCTGCAGCTCCAGGCTTCCTTGTGGGGCAGGTGGATGTGGGGAGGGAGGGAGTCCGCTCCAGGCAGGCAGTGTGGGTGGGAGGGGAACATGGGTCCGGGGCAGTACCGAGGCTGTGGTTCAGACAAGGTGGGGGTTGGGGCCCCACTGTTCACACGCTGAGCAAAGATTGATAAGCCGCCTTAAGGAGTCACTGTGTTGTCTTGGATGAGCAAGAGTGAGGTAAGGTGCAGTGTTGGGAGCCTGCCGTATTACCCATGACAATATAGCCACAGGATGGCGTCCGCCTACCGCCTCGCTGCTCCCCCGCCCATCGTGTGCCCAAGATGGCACACACATCCTGCTTCCTGGTTCTTGCTCGGCTTACTGTCCCCGCCATATATGGTAATGATTGATTGCTTCCTTGTTGCCGCCCAATCGCCTGTCCCCACGTGTAATCCCATGGTTGGATAACATTAGCTATATAAGCCCAAGTATAGGAAGTGCCCGACGCACAACACGGAAGAAGCCGTCGAGGACGGACATGTATTGAGGTTGCTGCCCAGTCAATAAAGGTGCTTGCAGAGGCTGAGTGTTCGTGTGCTCCATTCCGCGGGACGGAAGCGGCTCCGGACAGTGCAGTTCATTCATGAGAGCAGAGACGGGTACAAGGCCCAGCAGGGTCCAGGATGAGTTCCCACAGGAGGCAGCTGCCAAGGGCAGCGAGGACCAAGGGGCCTGGGCTGTGCTCACCAGGCTGCTCTGGAACCCCCAGCAGGGTCCTAGATATTTCGATATTTGCCCGTTACTGAGTCCAAGGGCACCATTGTCAGAAGTTTCAGTAAGAAAATTCTTTTGCCTAGTGTTATGGCTTGCGCCCAGATGTCCCTCCAAAGCCTTATGCAATCACAGATGGGGCTTTTTTAGAGGTGGCTGGATCTAGAGTGTGTGATGCTGGGGTTGGTCCACGGAGCAGTGCTAGGCTGAAGGACACCAGGATTAAGGATGTGAGCACCACCCGCCCTGAGTACCCTGGATAAGACAGAAAGAGCTGTGATCCCCCTGGTTGCTTTGCTACTTTCTGTCCTCCATGAACTGTTTCTCCTCTGCAATTCATCTTCCATACCACTGTGCCCCGGAGCCAGCTCTACAAACTATGAGCTGAGTAAACCTTTCCTTCTTTAACTTTGGGCATCAAGTATTTTGTCTCAGCAATGAGAGAAGAGTAACTAACATCTAGAAAACTTTATCTTTTAAAGTCTCTTATATAATTTTAAATTCTGTGATATCAAAAATTTAAAAGAATAAAGAACATTATATTTTATGCTCTGATTCTTAGGTCTATTTGTCTGTCACTGAACCATCATTTATTAATTCATTCATTCAACAAACACTTCCCAACACAATATCTCTATATGCAGTCACTGGGCAGGGCACACAGTGCTGAAGCAGCACAGCAGGTTGGTTCTTCTTTTCCTGCATCCTAGGTCATCAGGTAGGAGACACTGTCCATCAGAGAGTGACATGGACCGTGAAGAAATGAAGTCAGAAGTCAGACACATGAGCTAAGACTAGTGTGCAAGGCTGGGGACTGAACGATCAGTGTTGGAGACTGTGTTTGATAAGAGGAACAGAAATGCAAAGGCTCTGAGGCTGGACAAAACCAAGAGAGTCTCACAGCTGGGAGGGAAGAGCCAGTGTGGCCTGGAGTGAGAGGTGGGCCATGCGGAGCAGTGAGCAGGTCAGAGCTCTGCCTCCACACATGGATGAACCCTCTCTGGACTGATGGATTAGGAGACTAGTGGGGTATCCATTGTGGGGTACTTTACGGTGAAAGCAGTCCTGTTTCTCCAATGTTGTCCCCTGCCCTGCTGTAACCCAGCGACAAGGCCCTCCCAGATGCCCAGAAGATGCTGGTGACATGCTCTTGGACTTGCAGAATTGGGAGCTAAATCAGCTTCTTTCCGGGGGTAAATTTCCTGGACTGTGGCATTCAGTTATTGCAGTAAATGAGCTATGACAGAAGGAAGGACTTTAGAGTCCGTTTTCAGGAGTGTGGAAAATCATCAGTCTGAGAGGCGACCTGGGCTGCCTGGTCTTTCACAAAGCTCTGTCTGGACACAGGTGCAGAGTGGGCACAGCATAGAAATGGGACTCCTTGAAGGGCACATGGGGCTGAGGCTGGGAGCCTGAGACTCTGTGGTTCCTGGGGAACCATTCCTCCTGTCCCCACCACCCCAGGGTCTTGGCCACTGCTTGCCAAAACCTGGTCACCTGGGCATCTGTGGTACTGTCTGAGCCTTACTAAGGAGCTGGGGGAAGCCAGGCTCAGGCAGGAGAGAGGTGGACCAGGAGGCTTGCTGGGTGGCCCATACCCTCTGAAAGGCACTAGCTGTGTCTAGCTTGGGCTCAGGACATGGATAATCTTTGTCTGTCGCATGGCTGCTGCCCAAGTGATGCACTGTGGGAATGGCTGGGTGTCCGCACAGAGCCTTGTAGGCTGGAGGCACTGATCTTTCCCAGACACAATGGTTCCTCCTTGTCCATCAGTTAAGAGACCCAGTCTCCAGCAATAACAGATAGAAAATCAAACATGCAAACTTGCCACATCGGAGCCTGGGAGTGTGATTGTTGACAGCCTTGATAGCTGATGTGACAAACACCCCTCTCTAATCTTCTTCAACATTGTTGTAGCCATCTGTGTGCTGTTTCTCTTCTGTTCAATTCCAAAATAAACATGCAATTTCTTGAAATTTTGCTCTGGTTTTTGTGGGACTTATATTGGGCTCACAGATAAATATAAAGATATTTTTACATGCTGAATCTTTGTAATCATGAACACGGAATATCTATTTATTCTAGTCTTTAATGTTTTATCAATAATGCTTCATAAAATTTTCTACTTAAAGGTTCAGCATGTACATATTTTTATCCCAAGATTTTAAAAATACTTTTTATTGTTATTATACATATAGTCCTTAAAAATGGTTTACTAACTGGTCATTGGAAGATAAAATGGAACTC